ATACCATCCTCGACCCTCCCAATCTTCCTAAGAATACCATCCTCGACCCTCCCAATCTTCCTAGAATACCATCCTTGACCCTCCCGCTCTTCCTCAGAATACCATCCATGACCCTCCCCTCTTCCTCAGAATACCATCCTTGACCCTCCCGCTCTTCCTCAGAATACCATCCATGACCCTCCCGCTCTTTCCTCAGAATACCATCCATGACCCTCCCGCTCTTTCCTCAGAATACCATCCATGACCCTCCCCGCTCTTCCTCAGAATACCATCCATGACCCCCCCCCGCTCTTCCTCAGAATACCATCCTTGACCCTCCCGCTCTTCCTCAGAATACCATCCATGACCCTCCCGCTCTTCCTCAGTACACCATCTAGGCCTCTCTCCCACCCTTCATCAAGACACCATTCGGAACCCACCCACACTTCCTCAGGACACTATCCCACACTTCCTCAGGACACTATCCCACACTTCCTCAGGACACTATCCCACACTTCCTCAGGACACTATCCCACACTTCCTCAGGAACTTTCGGTTCATGCACTAGGGGTGCAGCTCATGCCTTTTATAAATCTATGTGCACTTAATTTTATCAGTCTTTCCGTTGGCACTGCGGAGTCATTTAATCAGCAAAAATAAGAGGTGGGAAAAATAAAATACAGACCACGGTTTACTTCCTTTAAGTTCTGTTTATTGTCCCAACAACTGTGATATTAAATATAAAACAAAATCGTTGTAGTTTTGCAAAGCAGAGCGATCGAGGCTGGCCACCATCGACAACGTGGGCCTGGAGGAACTGAGATTCTTGCTGGGCTTCTGTCTTCTCCTCTGTAGAAATCAATGTTCCTGCAACAAGGCAAGCCGAGAATATGACTTCACACGTGTCGGTGACACAGACAGACAGATAATTCAGATCCAGCAAATAAACGTAGCCACACGCAACTGAAGACAGTCTAGAGCACGGGTGTCAAAATGGCGGCCCTCCAGCTGTTGCGAAACTACAAGTCCCATCAAGCCTCTGCCTTTGGGAGTCATGCTTGTAACTGTCAGCCTTGCAATGCCTCATGGGACTTGTAGTTTGGCAACAGCTGGAGGGCCGCCAGTTTGACACCCGTGGTCTAGAGTTTGTATATACACTATGTCAGGGCTTAAAATTTCAAGTCTAGACCTACTAGCCAGGCAAAAACCTTACTCTCCACCAGCTTCCCCACCAAACCTTGCCCAGGTCCGCCTCCAACCCCACCCCAGGCCCGTCCCCCAACCACGCCCCCTTAAAGCTTATGAGATTACATTTTTCTTTAGAATGGAGTCCAAAATAAACAAAAAAACAGCAATTCAAGTGTCCCCCATGGCGGTGGAGAGCGGGCTTCTCCTCGTGTCCCCCATGGCGGTGGAGAGCGGGCTTCTCCTTGTGTCCCCCACAGCGGTGGAGAGCGGGCCTCTCCTCGTGTCCCCCATGGCGGTGGAGAGTGGGACCTCTCCTCGTGTCCCCCATGGTGGTGGAGAGCGGGCCTCTCCTCGTGTCCCCCACGGCAGTGGAGAGCGGGCCTCTCCTCGTGTCCCCCACGGCGGCCCAGCGTGGAGAGCGGGCCTCTCCTCGTGTCCCCCATGGCGGTCGGGGACCCTCCTCGTGTCCCCCATGGTGGTGGATAGCGGGCCTCTCCTCGTGTCTCCCTCGGCGGAGGAGAGTGGGCCTCTCCTCGTGTCTCCCTCGGCGGAGAGCGGGCCTCTCCTCGTGTCTCCCTCGGCGGAGAGTGGGCCTCTCCTCGTGTCTCCCTCTGTGGTGGAGAGCGGGCCTCTCCTCGTGTCCCCCATGGCGGTGGAGAGCGGGGCCCTCTCCTTGTGTCCCCCATGGCGGTGGAGAGCGGGCCTCTCCTTGTGTCTCCCCCGGTGGTGGAGAGCGGGCCTCTCCTCGTGTCCCCCATGGCGGTGGAGAGCGGGGCCTCTCCTTGTGTCCCCCATGGCGGTGGAGAGCGGGCTTCTCCTTGTGTCCCCCATGGCGGTGGAGAGCGGGCCTCTCCTTGTGTCTCCCTCGGTGGTGGAGAGCGGGCCTCTCCTCGTGTCCCCCATGGCGGTGGAGAGCGGGGCCTCTCCTTGTGTCCCCCATGGCGGTGGAGAGCGGGGCCTCTCCTTGTGTCCCCCATGGCGGTGGAGAGCGGGCCTCTCCTTGTGTCTCCCTCGGTGGTGGAGAGCGCGGCCTCTCCTTGTGTCTCCCTCAGTGGAGGAGAGCGGGGCCTCTCCTGCACCTGTCCCCTCAGTGGCGCTGCCAGTGTAATGGCGGTGCCAAAGAAGAAACTGGAAGTCGGCTTCAAAGTGGAGAGAGCCTGACACGGACCAACACCCCCCCCCCCCCCCCCCCCCACAGAGAGACCCTGACACTGACCAACACGCCCATGGAGAGACCCTGACACTGGCCAACACCCCCCCCCCCACGGAGAGACCCTGACACTGGCCAACACCCCCCCCCCACGGAGAGACCCTGACACTGACCAACACCCCCCTCCCCCACAGAAAGACCCTGACACTGACCAACACGCCCCCCCCCCACGGAGAGACCCTGACCAACCCCCCTTCCCCCACGGAGAGAGACCCTGACACTGGCCAACACGCCCCTCCCCCACAGAGAGACCCTAACACTGACCAACAACACCCCCAGCCCTCCCACCCCACCAGAGAGCCTTCCACTACCACCCCCCCCCCCCCATACACTGGCAACCCCCCCTGTGAAAGAGAAGACACTCACTTTCACAGGACAACCCCCAGGAACAAGAGTCAGGCTCTGCATACACCAGCCTCTTTCAGGTCCACATGCTGCGTGTCCCTTCTTTTTGGGGGGGGGGGGGGGGCCCCCTTGAAAAATGCCGCCCTAGGCAAATGCCTTGTGGTAATTACACCTCTGCTTCTCAGATTGTTAGCTCCCAGGAGCCGGGCCCTCCTAACCCTCTTGTACTGCAAACCGTTGGCGCCACATAAATCCTGTAAAAATTCTCACGACTTCGTACCTAGGTGTATGGTCACGTGACCAGCACTGGAGGAGGAGGAAATGTAGATTGCTCGTGGTGCCACTGGCCAGGATGATTGGACCCATTTAGTAGGTACCCATTAATGCGAAGATCCACCTTTTCAGGACCAACCAGGAAATCAGGCCGAAGGAGCGCCAAGCTGTTCTTGTCAATTCTCCGCCATAATGGTTCACACCGCCATGGCGACTTTTCACCCCGCAGCCACGGCGACTTTTCACCCCGCAGCCACGGCGACTTTTCACCCCGCAGCCACGGCAACTTTTCACCCCGCAGCCACGGCGACTTTTCACCCCGCAGCCACGGCGACTTTTCACCCCCTCGGCCACGTCGACTTTTCACCCCTCGGCCACGTCGACCTTTCACCCCTCGGCCACGTCGACCTTTCACCCCTCGGCCACGTCGACTTTTCACCCCTCAGCCACGTTCTACATTTCTTTAATTGCAACACCGAGGTAATCAATTACGCTTCATATTTCCTTACAATATATATATTTATTTGGACCGCTAGATCGACTCACTAAAACTCTGCGTCTTCCACCAAAATGTGTAGGCGGCCAGTTCCTGTAGAAGTCGCACGGGCACGGGGATGCCCCTTTAAGCCGCCGGCAGAGCCAGATTCCCAGGGTCCTTTGCTGTGAATAATCACGGCTCCCTAATAGTTTTCCACACTCGTCCCCGGCAGCCATTAAATAATTAGGCAGTTAGCGGCCCTTCAGCCATTAGGCGGCACAACACATTTGGAGGCAATTAGGGGGTTTAACTGTTCCTGGACCCGGCTCCTTGTGATGGCGGTCCTGGATTCAGAATGTGCCCCACCGCGGTGTGATAGAGAGGGGACCGGAACGATCGGCGCGCCTCGTGTTTGGTGGCAGCGCTCCCCGTATTTATGGTCTGTTGCAGAACGTTATGTGTCAGCATGGTCCCTTGTAGTCTCAGTCAGGGGGGCGGGTGACTACGTGACAACATAGCAGCACAACTGGGCGACAGTTGTCACCACATCACAGCAAGTACTTGAGCAAAGAGCTTCGCCAGATACAATTTTATTGAATGCAAATTATTTCTAAAACTCCTACGAGTCTCCACAACCTGCTTCCAGACTGGGGTCACGCTGATGGTGGAGGGGGGGGGGGACCCCCACTGATTTGTGTCATACTTTCCTCATGACCCTCCCCTATAACTGACCACTGACACAAATTTCTTTCCCTCCACCTGTGGTCCCTTGTTTCCCCGCCAGCTGACCCTTTGTCCCCTCCCCAGGGCAGACGACCCTATATTCCCCTCCCCCCACTCCCAACGGACAGCTGACCCTTTCTCCCCCCCACTCCCAAGGACAGCCAACCCTTTTCCTCCACTCCCAAGGACAGCCGACCCTTTCCCCCCCCCCCGCTCCCAAAGGACAGCCGACCCTTTCCTCCCCCAGCCCCCCCCCACTCCCAAGGACAGCCGACCCTTTCCCCCCCCCCCCCCCCACTCCCAAAGACAGCCGACCCTTTCCCCCCCCCCCCGACCCTTTCTCCCCCCCTTTACTCCCAAGGACAGCCGACCCTTTCTCCCCCCCCCCCCCGCTCCCAAGGACAGCCGACCCTTCCCCCCCCCCCCTCCCACTCCCAAGGACAGCCGACCCTTTCCCCCCCCCCGCTCCCAAGGACAGCCGGCGACTCTTTTCCCAGGACCCACTCTGTCCATGCCGACATGTAATAACAGGAAAGCATGGACATGAGAGGCGTTGGAAGAGCCATTTCTGGCCCGGTTCTGCTCCTCGGGTCGGCTCCTCGCTTTACTACTTACCGGATCACTGACCCAGAAATTCACAATCATTATGTGCCAATCAGGAACTCCGGCCAGTGATTGGTCGATAGGAGCGGCACAGATCAGCCAATCAGGAACTCTGGCCAGTGATTGGTCGATAGGAGCGGCACCCCCCCATCAGCCAATCAGGAACTCTGGCCAGTGATTGGTCGATAGGAGCGGCACAGATCAGCCAATCAGGAACTCTTTTCCCAGGCCAGTGATTGGTCGATAGGAGCGGCACAGAGGCGTGATCAGCCAATCAGGAACTCTGGCCAGTGATTGGTCGATAGGAGCGGCACTGATCAGCCAATCAGGAACTCTGGCCAGTGATTGGTCGATAGGAGCAGCACAGATCAGCCAATCAGGAACTCTGGCCAGTGATTGGTCGATAGGAGCGGCACTGATCAGCCAATCAGGAACTCTGGCCAGTGATTGGTCGATAGGAGCGGCACAGATCAGCCAATCGGTTTGTGTGTCCGCAGTACTCACCTTGACAAACTTGCCGTGGAGGAGGTACGGTGACTGTAAGTCGTTCTGACAGTTGGAATACGCCATTCCTAACCCGATGCCGGAGGAGAACGCGATGGGCCACGTCTTCCCTGCGAAACAAAGCCACAGATTTCATCAACCTCTTGTAGGCGACTCCACGCCACACAGACACTTCAATTCATCTTAAAGGATCGTTCCATCTCAAACTGATACCTCTTTGTTCACTGGATGCTGGATAGCTAAACCTATGAGGGGTTCCCACCATCCCTGTGTCGAGTTCCCGTGTCGGTAACCCCCCGCTGTGCCCTTTATGAGGGGTTCCCACCATCCCTGTGCTGAGTGCCCATGTCGGTAACCCCCTGATGTGTGCCCATTATGAGGGGTTCCCACCATCCCTGCGCTGAGTTCCCGGGTCTGTAACACCTGCTGTGCCCATTATGAGGGGTTCCCACCATCCCTGTGCTGAGTTCCCGGGTCTGTACCCCTGCTGTGCCCATTATGAGGGGTTCCCACCATCCCTGCGCTGAGTTCCCAGGTCTGTAAACCTGATGAGCCCATTATGAGGGGTTCCCACCATCCCTGTGCTGAGTTCCCGGGTCTGTACACCCGCTGTGCCCATTATGAGGGGTTCCCACCATCCCTGTGCTGAGTTCCCAGGTCTGTATGCCCGCTGTGCCCATTATGAAGGGTTACCACCATCCCTGATGGAGTTTTTGTCTCATATCATGGAAAGTCTCACAGGAGTGCAGACACAAAAACGATTGGTGGGAAAACCTCCAAGTGGGCCGAAGTCCTATCCAATCTCTTGATTGGGGCCCAGTGACAACGCTCACCGGGACCAACAGCGAGGATCAATCTCAGCGAATACAAAGACATCAACAGAAACCTGACAGGGAGTCTAATCCTTCGACTTTGACCTACAGAGGTGCCTGTTGTCCCCCCCATATCCCCAGTGCAGTGCCCGGCCTCAGGTGAGGAGACAATCATTGGCCAATTACAGGGCAGGAATCGGGCGAGGGGCGGAGTCGGGCAGGAGGGGGTTAAATACTCACTTTTGAAGAAAACGACTGAAAACACGATCCCCAAGCCAAGGCCGGCACCTGGAGAGAGAACACAATAGACTTCATGGCGGATCTATTTATTTAATGACACATCATTTCCGTGTCCAATTGGCATGTGCCTGTGCAGGGCAGCATCAATCGGGGCCCTGCGCTCAGATGGCCGTGTCCACACTTGCATCGGGCTGTGATCGCCTTCCAAAATATGCATTTACAGCGCCGGGATCGGCGTGACTCACACAGTGCGGCTCTGTCCTGCGGTGACGGGGGTCCGGGGGACCGCCACATATCTGCTGGGGGGAAGGGGGCATTGGAGGCTGAGAGCACCAGATCCTCCTCTATAGGCCCCCCCCCCCCCCTTTCAGATGAAAATGACCCCCAATTCCCCCCTCCTCTATGGACAACCCCCATTCAGATTAAATGACATCCAATTCCCCCCTCTATAGACCCCCCATTCAGATGAAATGGGGCCCCCCCACCCCCACTATTCCCCCTCTATAGACCCCCCCTTTACAGATAAAATGACCCGCAATTCCCCCTCCTCTATAGACCCCCCCCCTTTTCAGAATTAAATGACATCCAGTTCCCCCCTCCTCTATGGACCCCCCCATTCAGATTAAATGACCCCCCAATGCCCCCCTATACTCTATGGACCCCCCCATTCAGATGACCCCCAATCCCCCTCCTCTAGACTGACCATTTGGAAACTCGGGCACTGCCCGAGGGCCCGGGGTCAGTAAAGGGGCCCCATGAGATGCCCCTGGTACCTTTTTCATAGGCTTTTTCGAGTTTGGGCGGGGGGGAGGTGGGGGGGGGTGTCTAAGGACACAGGGGCCCCATGATCCCCCTATTGCCCGGGGGCCCCCCATGAGTTGTTAGTCTGCCCCTGCCTCTATGGACACCCCCCATTCAGATTAAATGCCCCCCAATTACCCTCTCCTCTATGGACCCCCCCCCATTCAGATGAAATGCCCCCAATTCCCCCCTCCTCTATGGACCCCCCCATTCAGATTAAATGACCCCCAATCCCCCCCCCATATATTCCTGCACACCCCAATTAATTTGAACTCACTAGGACAGAAGTGCTAATAAACAGGAAGGCTGTGTGCTATGCCCCCTCTGAAGCGAGGCACTGGTCATGTGATCTGGTGTACAGGTGTGGGCAGCCAACTGGCAGCTCGTTCTCATCAGTGCTTTACAGCATGGAGGCGGGGTTCGCGCCGCATGCAATTCACACCGCATTCCTGCAAATCACATGCGATTCTGTGTGGTTGCGGTTTGTGCCCATCGTTTCGTATGGATCAAATTTATTATTTATTTCAGGGTACTTATATAGCGCCGTCAGTTTACACCGCACTTTACATATATATTGTACATTCACATCAGTCCCCGCCCCCGAGGGAGCGTACAATCTAAGGTCCCCAACTCACATTCATACATACATATACTAGGGACAATTTAGACAGGAGCCAATTAAGCTCCCAGCATGTCTTTGGAGTGTGGGAGGAAACCGCAGTACCCCGGAGGAAAACCCACGCAGGCACAGGGAGAACATGCAAACTCCAGGCAGGTGGTGCCCTGGTTGGGGATTCGAACCAACGACCCGAGTACTGCCTGGCGGAAGTGCTGACCATTCAGCCACTGTGCTGCCCAAATCGCACCACATGCGCACAAAAACCACACACAGGCACCTATTTCTTTAAATGGGAATAAGGGAAAGGGGGGGGGGGGTGTCCATTCCCCCAATCAGCTTTCAGAGATCTTGTAGAGCGCGTAACGTCACCTCCCTGCTTTGTGAGTTTTACACGGCTTTACAGGACAAATGGCTGCAGATAAACAGGTATAACTTTTTTTTTTTACAGGTAAACCGGTTATAACTCACCTGAGGCACTCGGGATGGGGTATAGGTAAGAGATCTCACTAAAGAAAACAACCGCCTTAACGTGTTCTCACCACAAAAACATGTGCTGGTCCCCATGCTTACAAAGCCCCCCCCCCCCTATAATGCCACATACATGCATACGGCTCTGAGAGAGAAAGGGTTAATGTGGCAGCTCAGTGACCCCCAAAGAGAAGCATTGGCTGAAGAGGGGGGGGGGGGGCGGTTCATCGCCTGGCGAGTCCCACCGCGGTCTTTATATGCAAACCTATTGTACACACACCCTGCGCAAAGCACAATTAAAGGAACAGATCACCCACAAAAAATTCTCATAAAAGTTTTGCAAGTAAAAAAATGTACGCAAGCCGGAGCCCTGGCACCAAATTAAACACACGGATAACGGGGAAAAAGGAAAAAAGGAAAAAGGAAGAAGGAAGAAGGAAGAAGGAAGAAGGAAAGAAGGAAGAAGGAAGAAGGAAGAAGGAAGAAGGAAGAAGGAAAGAGGAAGAAGGAAGAAGGAAGAAGGAAAAAGGAAAAAGGAAGAAGGAAGAAGGAAGAAGGAAAGAAGGAAGAAGGAAGAAGGGAAGAAGGAAGAAGGAAGGAAGAAGGAAGAAGGAAAGGAGAAGGAAGAAGGAAGAAGAAGAAAGGAAGAAGGACGAAGAAGTCAAGAAGAAGAAGAAGAAGAAGAAGAAGAAGAAAGAAGAAGAAGAAGAAGAAAGAAGAGAGAAGAGAAGAAGAAGAAGAAAGAAGAAGAAGAAGAGAAGGAGGGAAGGAGGGAAAGAAGGGAAGAAGAAGAAGAAGAAGAAGAAGAAGAAGAAGAAGAAGAAGAAGAAGAAGAAAGGAAGGAGGAAAGAAGAAAGGAAGGAGGAAAGAAGAAAGGAAGGAGGAAAGAAGAAGGAAGGAGAAAGAAGAGGAAGAAAGAAGAAGAAAGAGAAGGAGGAAAGAAGAAAGGAAGGAGGAAATAAGAAGGAAGGAGGAAAAGAAGACGAAGAAAGGAAGGAGGAGGAAAGAAGAAAAGGAAGGAGGAAAGAAGACGAAGAAAGGAGGAAAGAAGACGAAGAAAGGAAGGAGGAAAGAAGAAAGGAAGGAGGAAAGAAGAAGGAAGGAGGAAAGAAGAAGGAAGGAGGAAAGAAGAAGGAAGGAGGAAAGAAGAAAGGAAGGACAAAAGAAAGAAAAAGGAAGGATGAAAGAAGAAGAAAGGAAGGACAAAAGAAAGAAAAAAGGAAGGATGAAAGAAGAAGGAAGGAAGAAGGAGGACGAAAGAAGAAGAAGGAAGAAGGAAGGAAGAAGAAGAAGGAAGGACAGAAGGAAGAAGGAAGAAAAAAAAAAAAGAAAGAGGAAAAAAGGAAAAAAAAAGAAGACGAGGAAGAGGAAAGAAGAGGAAAGAAGAAGGCAGAAGGAAGAAGAAGAGGAAAAAAAAACAAATCCGAAACGCTCATCCGCCAGCTGAATCACGAGGAAAAATAAAAAAAAAATAAATAAATAAAAAAAAACCCAACAAAAATCCCCAAACGCTGGAAAGAGCTAATAATTCCTGCACGGTCCCCTCCCCGGGACGCGGGATGTTTTGGAGTCGCTCACATCGGCTGCCAAGAGAGCCTCTAATTGGCTGTCGTCTCTCTGCTGCCATTACAATAGCACAGCTGGCCGGCGCTTTATTAGGGATAATTACTATCTGGCAGGACTGGACACACCGCCTGGACTGGACACACCGCCTGGACTGGACACACCGCCTGGACTGGACACACCGCCTGGACTGGACACACCGCCTGGACCGGACACACCGCCTGGACCGGACACCGCCTGGAAGGACACGCCTGGACCGGACACACCGCCTGGACCGGACACACCCACCCGCCTGGACCGGACACACCTGGACCGGACACACCGCCTGGACCGGACACACCGCCTGGACCGGACACACCGCCTGGACCGGACACACCGCCTGGACCGGACACACCGCCTGGACTGGACACACCGCCTGGACTGGACACACCCGCCTGGACTGGACACACCGCCTGGACTGGACACACCGCCTGACCTGCACCCTCCCCGGTTTTTTTCTTTCCTGCGTCTGTACAGGACGGACGGGGTTGCGATCCCAGCGTAGGAAGGAACCCTTTTCTTGGGTCGCTAACCCCTCCAGCAAGTGGCGCAATGGCGGCAGGCCGAGGGGCACGCGGTTCTAATGGATTCCTGGCCTCGCCTTTCAGAGCCGATTACAGAGTGAGTGCCGGTCGTTACCGCGTGCGACTTTCAATTCCCGCAATTAAAGCGGTCATGTCGGTGCGATTCCAGCTTGGTCGCAGACGCACCGAGTTCCATTTTTGATTCTGCGTGCGCTAATTCAGGTGCGGCTCGCATAGACATCTGTGGCTTGCAAGTCCCAATGACATCCGACTTTAAAATCTTTGCAGGGAGAAGGAACAAATAGATTTTCAGTAAAAAGCAGCACATAATACACACAACACGTCAGGCACACGCTTAATGGCTTGATTACCCCGAGAGGTTAACCCCTTCCCAGCCAGTGTCATTAGTACAGTGTATAGTATTATCACCGATCACTATTAGTGTCACTGGTGGTGTCAGTAGCGGTTAGCCCCCCCCTCAGTGTCAGTTAGTGTCAGATTGCCCGCCGCACTACCACAGTTCCATTATAAGTTGATCATTACGAGTATAAAAAAAAAAAAAAAATTTCAGTTTAGATCCCATAAAGACGCTATAACGGTCACCCAAAACCAATCAATATACCGCATACTGGGATTTTTTTTTTTTTTTTTTTTTTTTTACCAAAAGACATGAAGCAGAATACATTTTGCCCAAATTCATGAAGAAATTTGATTGAAAAAAAATTTTTTTTTTTTATTGGATAGGTTTTAAATTGAAAAAAAAAATAATTAAAAATAAAAATGTTTTTTTTTTTTTCCAAAAGGTTGTCTTTTTTTCATCTAACAAAAAATACCCCCCCCCCCCCACCAGCAGTGATCAAATACCGTCAAGATAGAAATTTTATTTGGGTACAGCGTTGTATCACCAGGCAATTACCAGGCTTAAAGTAGCTCAGTGCTGAATAGCAAAAAAAAAAAAAAAGAAGATAGAAATTTTATTAGGGTACAGCATTGTATCACCCGTGCAATTACTTGTTAAAGTAGCTCAGGGCCGAAGAGCAAAAAAAA